CTCTTATTACTTATAAAAATATTACGGGTCATGTGCAATATTTAAAATACAACATCGTGTATCTTATCAATATAATTTACCTATTAGTATCGATAATTGTACCAAAGTTTTGTTTTTTGAGAGAAGGAAAACACACTTAGCTTTAATATTAGATATTTTGAGGGAAAATATTTTAAGTTCAAAGTTTTTAATTGTAGTTTCATGGTGTGTCTTGTAATGTTAATTTTAGAGCTTCAAAAGCGTATGTAAAATAAAATGATATGCCTGCTTTGTTCTAACCAATGCCACTATTAAATTAACTATTGCTTTAGTTTCCTTGTCATTTGTCGTCTTTGACAAAGACTTTTCATCCTACTAAACGAAGCTTAAAAGAAAATAAGACTTTTATTCATTGAGACTTTCTATTAAAATATTTAGCCGATGGCAATACGGAATCGCTAACACACATCATAAGTATATTGATAGTTACCAATACTCAATGTATCTACAGGTAGAAAGACAACGTGTGACATAAGAGCCGATGTGTTCTGGGGTAAATGTACGAGATATTTTGTTCCCACTCCAGGTATGTTGGCGTGAACATAATTATGTATTTATGTCTCATATGCGATGACAATGAGAAATGACCTTTCACCCTTGTTACCATAACGCTGCTCTTTTTTTGAAGCGCTAATGTCAGGACGTTCAAAAATTTTCTCATCAGAATTCTTATCATTCGAACCAAACGCCGTCGCCTTCCTCGTTAACCATCACTTCCATCATTCCCTTTCCTCACGGTCAGCCAGAACACCAATCTTATCAGTAACATCATCAAATTCACCGGTACGTTCAATATCGCAAACGTACAACTATCGTTATTACTGATACGATTATTGATGCAAGTACTGTTAGCGATACAAGACTTTCACATCGACCTCTTACAACTAGACTCCTATCTCCAGTCATCAACCTGTACATTCACATTTACCCTCGGCTAAGTCGACACTATCAACCTTCATTGAGTCAATCAAGTTGAGTTAAAAGAAACTGTTTTTGAAGATGAAAGGGCGAAGAAGATGGAGATGAAAAAGACGATGAAGGAGAGACAGAAGACGAAATAAAAAAAATGAAAGACTATGAGAAATTCACAGAGAAGAAAAAAAAAAAAAACACTTACAAAATGGTGTCTTCGTTATCATTTGAGTCCATCAAATATTTTGTTTTGTGTGTGCCCAAGACTAAACGTCAATAAGTTAGATATTTAGATGTGAATTAATATAGAGCGGATGCGCCAGTTGGTTAGACACAGTAACATGAATAAAAAAGATAACATTGAAACGATGTTCTCCACTATTTACATTGTTCGGACTATCATCCTCATCTTTGCTGTCATATTTATCACAACGTTTCGGCCGTTGTACGCTCCAGCCTTCTTCAGCTGGTTGGAATGTCGACATTGTCATCGCATATGAGACATAAATACATAATTATATTCGCGCCAACATACCTGGAGTACGAACAAAATATCTCGTACATTTACCCCAGAACACATCGGCTCTTATGTCACACGTTGTTTTTCTACCTGTAGATACATTGAGTATTGGTAACTATCAATATACCTTTATTTCTCTCATTGGGGTAGACTGTTCTAGTTCCACATGCCATGTCTAATGGATGTCAGTTATCAGTTAACTGGACACATGGCACAGTGGATAGAGGCGTTAGTTAGATCCAGTGACAGGACCCAAAAAGAGTGTGAGTTCAATACCTGGTTAAGGCGGTGGAGAACTTGGAGAGGGGAATTAACAGGAGATAACAGATAACTGACATCCATTAGAGATGGCACGTGGAACTAGAGCAGTCTACCCCAGCGTGCGAAATAAAGGGTTCAGTTCGACATTCCAACCACCTGAAGAAGGCCGGAGAGTAAAACGGCCGAAACGCTGTGATAAATATGGCAACAAAGATGAGGATGATAGTCCGAACAATGTAAATAGTGTACATAATACCTCATCTCAGAAATATAGACAGATACGATGTTCTCCCTTTCTCTCTCCCCTCCTCTCTTTCCCCATGTGTGTGTGTATATATATATATATATATATATATATATATATATATATATATATATATATATATATATATATATATATCTATATAATATATATATATCTATATCTATCTATCTATCTATCTATATATATATATATTGTGAAAAGGCCAGTGGGAAATTCTCTATAGATCAGTTATACATTCCAAGAATCTTACAAAAACTGAAGGAAAAAACAACAGGAAAATGATGTTGGCTAAATACTGTGCATATCCCGAATATTTTGGAAAATTCTTCAGCCTGGATACAGTTTAATTATATTGATTAGTACAGAGTTTATTAACTGCAGTTGAACTATTAATAAATCAGTGAGTAGTAAGGGATATGTAACAGACGTAGAAAGTGAGAGATATTATTAGAAAAGAGCATACTTTATAGATTTTCTTTTCTTTTGGGTAACTTTTCTTCTTTGTTAGCGGAAATAGTTGTGAAAAAAATACTGGGTAGTAAAAAGCAAAATACGAATAGATCCTAGAGAAATCAAGAAAATAAAACCTAGTAAGGCGATAAAGCTACTAAGACGCAAGTGGGTTATAATCTACGTTATTTGGCACAGTAAATATGCAGCGAAATTTGCTGTCTGTTTGAGGAAATATGACTTCATGGGAAAACACCCTTAAATACAAAATCTGTGGGCGGAGACGAAAACCGCGCAAAAGAAAACAATAATAATATTTGAAATAATAATTTTGTACTAATAATTGTAATAATTAAAAAAAGAAAATCTTTTAATTGAGCTGATCATCATGGCAATAAATTAACTCCCATGATGCCAGTAAAAAGCTAACAGTTATTTTGCGATTTTAATCTTTCTATTAACAAGAAAAATTAACTCAAATTAACGTAAATTTTCAGAAGAGAAATCTTTGTATTCTTCATTCTAATGGCAACAGATTCAGTGTTACAGCAAACACCGAAAAATGTCGAGCATCTCCGAAAACTGTCGACTATCAGTGAAAATTGTGAGTAATTCTGTTTCCCTTCAATTCAACTTGAATCTCAATCTATAAAAGGCAGGATGTGTGTATGTGTGTGTGTAACGAATGCACAGTCGCAATTTTCGACGGATTTGCACCAAAATTTACATGCACATACTCCAAGTTAGCGGAAAGGCCAAGACCGACTTTGCATTTCCCAACTCCCATCGATAGTGGAAATAATCGATTTTTTCATGCTTCTACGGGAGTTTTCATGTAGTTTGCGGATGATTCTATTGACTAGCGTGAGAACCAACAGCTGACTGACATGAATGTTAACTAGCATGCTAGCATGCAAAAAAAAAAAAAAAATCGATAGCTGCATTCGTCACAAGTGGGAAAAATTTAAATCTGCATGGCACTTTACTCCAATTGGCTCATTCGCTTGCTTAAACTCAACATTGATTCTGATTCCGCAGAACTGGGTTGGGTGTGAAAAAGTATTTGTTGTTAACATTCTTTTTTCATTCGGTTTTTCCAGTTACAAGTCCTTTTTTAAAGCTGATCGTTTTGTGTTCATTTTGTTTAGTTCTTTTTTCGTAACAGATTTAATGTTTAGTATAGAGCTTAGAAAAATTCGCAGTGTGAGATAGGCAAGAAGTAAGTCATGTAGCAACATCATCACGGCAAAGGGCACTCCTTTAAAGGCAAGGAAGAGTAAAAATATTTTAAGTCAAGTGATAGCGATTGCTGTATGAGTCGTACGATTTTTGAATCAAGCACGGGCAACGCCGGGCCATGCTGCTAGTTCATAATAATTTGACGTGAATTTAAGCAAAATCCACCGTCTGTTTCAATAAATGTGCGCAGATTCTCTTTTCCCTTCAACTTATTACTAAGAACAAATTATAATTCATGCAAATACGCATTGTAAGAAATAAACAGCAGTGTATTATGCAGCTACTTGCAATGTAGATAATTTCTTTAATAAAACTGAAGCATTCATAGAAATAAAAGATAATTTTGATTTTTTTATGGATAAAAGTTCTTTAAAAAATTTCAAATCTTCATGGACACACGCACTTCAACGAAACACCTTCACTTTAGCCAACAAGAAATGCTAGGATCAAACTTTAACAGCAATAGAAAGAAACACTTATGAGCAACAAAAAGAAACTGCTTCAGAGTAACAGAAATAAATTATTTCAGAGCAACAAAAGCAAACGATTTGAGAGCAATATAATGAAACTTTTTAACAGCAATAAAATAAAACTTTCTAAAGGGAGCATTTGTAAGGATAGGATTAGCCTTTTATCGTTTCATATTTTCTTTTTAAATATTTTAACACACATAATATATTTTTATATTTTCATTAATGAAGACAGTGCAGAGGATTCGGAATGAATTGGATGAGTCGAATGGTGATTACGAAGGTACGGGAGCTCGGAAAACTTGCTCTGATCGTTCTGATAAGAAAAGAACTCCCGAATTTGTTGGCGAGATCCAGGCCATTATTTAAAACTATCCCTCCAAGTCAATCTGGTCCATAGCCAGAGAGGTACTGCTGCCCTGGCTCAAGAGTGTGGTTGATGGAAGACCCTATATATGGTAACAGGACGCCGTACCATGCCACACAAGCAGGACAATTCAGTGATGTCTAGCAGACAATTTCTACGACCACATCATCCCTTACATCTGGCCATCTAACTTCTCAGACTGCAACCCCCTTGAGTATTATGTGTTATTGAGTGAGAGACCAAAAACACTTCTTGTAACACCAAAGATGAACTGGAGTCAAGGATTATGGCAGCATTTACCAACTTAAACAAGGAGACCATCCAGAAGAGAGGCAGGAGATTCGGAAGTCGGTTTGAAGCCAATGGTGATTTTATTGAATAAATTTTCTCTTTAGTTTTTCAAGATATTTTTGCGTAATATTTGTAAATATATCTGTTAAAATGAGTGTAATTTTCAATTCTGCATAATTTAGACGA